TATTTTCAAATTATTAGCTAATGCTCACATAATGTAGAAGAGAAGGCTCACCTGAATTAATAAGACTTGCTGGCTCTCATAGACAACTTGGCTAAGAACTATACTCACAGACTAGAAATATTCATGGATAACAGCAATTTTAGCATGAAAATATATTTTTTGTGGTACTGGTACTATTGTAGCATCAAAGAGACCTGAGCAAGGAATGTACTGCTGCTGCTTCTTCAGGTGCAAACCAAAAAGATAGCCTGTGTCCCAGGAAATTGCCATCCATTTATAAAACAGGAGATAAGCTGGGGCTGGGGAGATGTGGGAATAAAAGGGAATATTGCAAGAGGGGAGAGTGCTTATCCTGGTAAGCAGTGCATCCTTCAGTGTAATCAATGATAAGGCTTGTTGAGGAAAGCACTAAGTGTCTGAAAGACAGCATCTTGTGGGGAATTTGCCAAGCATGCTGGGCAGAATGGGTTAGGGCATGCAAGTTTGGTCATCTCACCGGCAGACATAGTGGCAAGCATCAGCAGTCAAGGAAAAGTGAGCCACGAGATGGTGCATACGGGAGATGGTGGAGGCAGGTGAGGATGAGCCATGCAGGCTCTTGAAAGTAAGGAAAAAGCAGTGATACCATAACCATCCAGTAGACAAACTTTAGAAACACAGAAAACTCAGAGTGAAGATTAGATGGAAAGCAAATCCAAGCATGCTGAGATATGGGAATGCATCCAGCCAATTTTCATTTTGCCCTATTCACGCAAAGCAATAGCTTAACAATTGCAGCTAGTGAATAATAGTATTGGTAGTGCCAGATTAAATTAAACTGGTTTTTTTTCCCTTTGGGATGCCCACAGTCCCTGAACAGAACTTGGCTTCTTTCCGTTTGGCAACAGGCAGGGGTTGTTTATTTAGGAATACAACAGTTTACTTATGGCAGGCTGGTAGTCCCACTCCAGTTGCAAACAATGGGAAATAGCCACTGTTGTGAAGCGGCTGCATTCAAGCCCCTGCAAGTGTCCTGTGTTCTATTATGTAGGTGAACTGGCAGAAAACTTTGTTTAATGAAGGTTATCAGATTTGGCAAAGGATTTATTCTCTAAATTAATTTTTCCTCACAAATCAGTTAACTTTTCAGTGTCGTAATTTGTGCAAGGACACACTAAATGTTCCACATGCTTTTAATCCCCTTTAAATAAAATTAAACTCTGCTTTCTTTCTGGACCTATAGCTGATGCTTCTATAGTAACAAGGAGTAATATCCTATGAGTTACTGTCATTTGGCCTTTTTAGTTATAAAATTTGTACTGCAAGCTGATTCATTCTTATCTTATAAATCATTTAAGTGTAAATAACAGTGAAACAGAGAACAAATTTAATCTGGAATTCGTAAAAGAGAACTCTACATCTACATAGAGAAATCTGCAGTATCTCCAGTTGAGGGAGAACTTATTCCAGTTAGTTTCAAAACACAGTACATGATCATTCCACATTTTTTATCACTTTAGAATGACAAAAATGACCTGTAAATTTCAGTCCTTAAATACTGGAAGTATATAGCGTACCACTGCAAGTGTAAAGCCTTTAATTTGGGAAAGAGGCAACACAGTATGTAAATTGTACTTTAGTTCTTGATTTTTAAAGGCTTGGATTCAAATCCTGGGTTGAACCCAAGAGAAAATGAGTCTGATGGTTTCAATTCAGTCTCTAATCTGTTCAAGCTCTATTACAAAACCACAGAATAATCCAACACAGTCAGCAGCCTCCTGGATGTTGAACAAGACTGACAAGGTATTTGGGGGCAATGTCAGTGAGGGACCATCTCCTGTGGAGCTTCTTTTGCTCCTGGAAAATTTGGTTGAGTGCTCTTTGAGGTTATTCACCCCTCAGCAGCCCATCAGATGGAAAAAAAAAAGCAGTAAAAGCAGTGACAGATAGCAACTTCTTTGAAAATTGAAAGAAAAATATGGAAGCTGAGTATGAACTGGGGGTGATGATTACACAGATGAGGGAAATGTGGCAGGTGGGAGAGGATGAGATCATGAGCAGAGGATCCCTGGCCCTTGCTGGGGTGGCTTGGCTCATGCAAATTGGGCTCGTCCTCATCTACTTCTCCCATGTGCATGTGTCCAGTGTCCCAAATGGTGACACTGGGACAAAAACATACCAGAAAATGATGGCCCTCCCTCAGAACTTTTTTAAAAGCTATACCTGTGTTTTGAGCACCATTCTTACTCTCTTTAAAGGTAATGACATTCTATTACCCGTTTCACAGGCGTATAGAATAACAGAAGGACTTGAACACCACTCTGAATTTCTCTTCTGTGTAGCTGTTTCATGTGAGATGATTTGAGCCATACGTTGTGGGGTTCATTAACACATGAAATATGCATAAAATTCATATTCATAGATACTGTATAGCTGTGTATAAAAGCATAAAGATAGCTTTATAGAACTAATTAAATAAACAATGCTTTTGAGCTTTCATAAAGGGTTGATCATAACCCCACTGTATAAATAATTACTTACTCACCCCTTTGCCAAACTGCCCATTTATTTATCTTGACAGTCTAAATGGAAACTCCATCAAATGTACTTCAGTAAATATTCTGTTAGACAGCAGAAGGACATGCAAATGTTAAATGATAACAGGGCTGTATCTGTTTTGTGTTTATTTTAATAGGTGGCTTTCATCAGGCAAGAGATTACTAATTACTTACCCCACTATCAAGTATATCCTTACATATAACTTAGCACCTGAGGAATAAGAAAGGCTTATAAAGGATTTTCCAAAGCTTGTATGCAATTGTAGTAATTAGCTCAGTGGGATCTATTTGTCTATTTGTTTCCTAAGAGATGAAGGGTTACATATAAATTTGCAGTAAGTTTTAGCATGATTATTTATTTTTAGTGTATTTACTTGACTGCCTACTTCATTTCTATTCAGCAAATGGAGAAAATTCTGAAAAGCAAGAAGTAAAACAAACAAGTTATTCTTAAAATTCTGGTGTTAGCAATACCTGTGAGCATGAAGGATAAAATCAGTGAACAAAAGACATTTCTCAGTCAATTATAAATAACTGTATAATACAGAGAGTGTTTTTCAAAAATATGTAAAATATAAATCTGTTTCATTAATTTCTCCTAGTCATAAAATATTTTATGTGTAAATTATTCTGCCTTTCAAGTGGCAGCAGCTGTATATATGGTGCACTGTATATACAGTACATTAACAGAGCAAGGACACTTGTGACAAAATCTGTTTAATTTCTGTGATAAATTATCAACACTTCAGAATCTTTCTATTGCTTTGACCTTTCTTTGGAAGAAAAACACTCCAACAGCAATTTGTTTATTTTAGCAGTTGAAATGGTCTTTACATTTTTAGAGTGTGTTTATTTCTTTAAGTGATATTTAGTCACTGTTAATAAACATAGAGTTGTTGTCATTCAACTATAGACCAGAAAATCTCTATACAAAAGTCAGACTTCAAGTGCTCAGATTTTTTTCTAACAACGTGTAGGCACCTCTAGAAATGTAGTCACAAATTACATTCCTAAATATAAATTAATTGCTAAGTTATTGGCAACCATATTGGAAAATCATCAATGAAAGAATGTCAATTATGTCTCTTTTTTTGCTTTGATAAATGAAGGAAGAGTTATAGAATCTGACAAAACATGTTATTTTGTAATTTGCTCATAAAATCCCATAGACAAAGATGTACTGGGCAGTTTTCATTTCTTGCCACATCTTTCTTTTCATTAAAAAATTAGTTATTCACTTACATGGCACTACCATGACTTTTTTAAATGCAGAAGAGGTGACTGTCATGCTTTCCCTTGGTGCATTATGAAGGGATTCAGATACAAGAGGGCATTGCATAGATGATACTGAAAAGGTCAATGCAATTTGGCATTATTGTATCCCTTTTTCAGATATTAAACTGTGGTAAGAATGCAGAATTATTCTAATTAATAATTTCTTATTTCAGCTTTCACTTTTAATGTGACCAAGATTTCCCCCCAAAAAAGGGTTTGAGCTAATTTTTACTTTTATCAGTATTTGTTGTAATATGAACAATTCAATAAAATGCCAAGTTCTCAGTTTGCATTAAGGCCAGGTAGGTCTTGTTTAGAACATTCCAGTATCTGTTTCAGCCACACAGATTTGGCAGACTTACCATTTTGTCAGACACACAAGAAAGCAGAAGTAGGATGGGATAAAGAAGGAAATCTGTACTGTAACCCCCACGTGCTCCTCACAAACTGCTTCTTCCAGGTCAATACTCCTGGAGAGTTGTGGTAGTCAGGCCATGCTGGGACAGACACCTGGCTTCATTTGATGCTGCTGAGGTGGTGTATACAGAAATGCAATAGGAACAGCAGACGCGTTGGGTTTGGGGGCAGCCTCAGGACCTCTGCGATTGCTGTATCACAAGAGCTAGTTGCCTATAGAGCAATTTGTTACGCTGTTCGAATTAAATATGGCAAATACAGCCTTTTCACTTGTACACTTCAGGTCCAATGTTTACTGTACGGCATTCATAGCAATTTTACGACAAACACCTCTTCTGGCAAAAATTCAGGCGTGGAGATCTTATGTGTTTCACAGCATGAAACTCTTATGCCAACAAAATACTCATAGCAGTATTTGATATACTACTAAAGTTATTTGTACACTCAGTTGTGTATGTTCCAGACATAATGGCAATACTTTAAAACAGAAATAAACACCCAAAGATATAGTACATGTCTTTTCTATGCAAACACAGTTTTACAGTGGTCTGTAGTGCATTTGTAGGGAAGCAGATACGAGATTGGGATGCAATCATTTTTTCAGGGGGGGCCAAGAAAGAGAAAAGATGACCGACCATTTTTTGCTTTTATTTTGTTTCAGGCATCCGTGAGTCATTAGATAACGTAGAGCTTGCTCTGAGCTCTGACGGTGCATAAGCACCCTACAAACCCGATGTAATGTCACCTCCCATGTGCTCCTTTTGTCCACAGCATAGCTGCCAGTCGGATGGAAACTCCATCTACTTCCATGGGACAGAAGGCAGCGAGTTCAATTTTGCCACAACCCGGGATGTGGACCTCTCCACAGAGGATGCCCAGGAACAGTGGGCAGAAGAGTTTGAGAGCCAGCCTAAAGGGTGAGTGCCCCTCACCTGCACAGGGCCCTAAGCCAGTGTGCAACATCACTCCAGGGATGAGGAAACTGGATAAACGGAGAATTGCATTTTGTCTTTGCTGTGTAGTCAGAGAAGATTGTGACTAAGATAAATAACAATACAGTAAATAACAGGTCATTGTGGATTTTAGGAAGGAACAAGTCTGGAAAGACCAGGAGGAACAGTCTGTCTCCAGACCATCCTGTCACCAAAGTTTTTAATGAAAAAAGTCACGCTTGTGAATTATGCAGTCATTCTGAAGAAACACATGATGTTGATCTGTTTTTTTCATTCACACCTGAGTGTTGTTAACAAACTCATATCCACATGAAATCAAATTCCTTGAGAAATTCATCCCTCTAGCTCACTGCTGTGAGCCATGCTTTGCCACGAGAGAGCTCCTGCTTGTGCAGAAGCCTGCAGGTGCTGGAGGAGGAGGAGGAGGTGGAGGTAGGACAGCTGAAGCAGCAGCCTGCTCTTGCCTTCCAGCACCAAGACCATGATCATGCCTGCTGTGCAAGAGCTGAGGATCTAGATGATAATTTACTATTTTTACTTTAAATATATACTGTGGGATTCAAAGAGCACATGTAAACCCAGATCCATCAGGGAGTGCTGCAAGGGCACAGAAAGTAAAGAAACCACCTAGGATAGCAAAATTACTACTCTTACCAAAACATGAATAAGCTTTAAAAAAACACAAATGTCCTGGTAAAGAAGTATCATTTTATATACCTAAATGTATAAATTTTGACAAAAAGAAAATAACCAACAGTGTGGTCTCAATTCTTTTTTATTATAAAAAAAAAAGAATTTCATTAGTTGCTGTAACCCCAGGGCAGTGAGGAACATACACTGTTAATTTATGGGTCTCTACTGAATGTTGATTTTAACCTACAAAGTACTTCAGATCATTAGCAGCTGATTCAAATGCTGCCTATGCTGTGCTGAAGGTAAAGAGCACCTTTTAAGAAATCCATGCTAATGTGTCCTGTGGCCACGTGGTTTATTTAGGTCTTACAGAAAAAATATTCACTGTGAACTCTGTCCTGGTTCAAATAATCAACCCATGGCACATCAGGTGCTGTTTCAGACAAAGGAAAGGAAACAAGCATGTGTGTTATATGTTAGGTGACTATGTGGGATATGTTTGAGATGTTCTCTCAGTCTCTTTTCCATCTTAAAAAACAGAACGGAAGTTTTACCTGGGGACATCTGCCCCATCTGTAGATCCTGTCTCTGCTAGACCAGGTGTTTAGTCAGGCAAAGTTGGGCCAGTTGCAGTCCTGGTTAGCAAATGCACAATTTCTTCCGAATTAGGAATATTACATTTTCACTGTCACACAGTGTCTAGCTCCAGTCGCAGGTGCCACCGCTCCCAGCTAGGAGCGAGGTAGGGTGCAGTCAGCAGATGCATTTTGCTCTCTCATCCTGCATGCAGTCCCAGGAACCAGGCCCTCATCTGCCCCCTTGCCTGTAAAATCTTAATGGTGTGACAGCCTGCCCTAGCAGGGGGTAATTTTGTTTTCCAAGACACTAAGCAGCCAACCCAAGGCCTCACAACTTTTCCTTTTCTTGTTTTAATTTTTTTTCTTTGCAAATTTTATTCTATATTAGAAACTTCCTTCTTTCAATTGTTTCTATAAGAATGAAGGTTTAAATTGCATGCAGCCGTGAATACACACTGAACTCAGGTGACGTTATGGAATACATCCCCATCGTATAAAATTGTCACCACCACTGTCCCTCTTTGCAACATTTCTGTGTAGCTTTGCTTTGGGAATTTTACATAACTGTAATTATATGAACTTCCTTAATCCCTCTTAGAGAAATATTTTTGAATGCTGTTTGAACCATATTTGAAGTACTGTTTTACTGTATTCAGATAGTCATAGAAACACTTTATACCCGAGACAAAGTTTGCAGGACGTTCTCAGGCTCCCCTTTGTAATATCAGCTGGAGCCTATCAGCTGGAGCCTGTCAGCTCTCAAAGGAAAGCCAAAAGCATCCCTCATAAGGGAGAGCAAAAGAAAGCTCATACAAAATGGTCACCATCACCTTCCTCTGCACTAAATGCTCTCTGATGTGAGTTATCCGAAAGAGCTCAACAGTAAGGGCAGAGGAGTTTATAATTGTTTTTAATAAGCACTTGATTGGTATTTTTTGCATGTCTCACCTAAAGCAGTAGGCTACATGGATAGGGGTTGCTGTTGTTAGTACCCCACGTCTTCCCACTGTCATTCTGCTTCTTTTTAATTGCATAAATTCAGGCCTGATCCTAAAAGTGGACAGATCTCCACATCAGGCTGCCTCTGTCTTTAGCAGATACATTGCTGCTTTGGACCTCAGAGTCCAGTTGATCTAGTTCAGATCCAGATATCATTCTATCATCTGGTTTGTAAAGAAGAATTTCAAGAGTAATGTGAGGGATAAATTAATTCAAATGTAATGTTCAATCAAGAATGTCCACCTCTCTGTCATGCCATCACCCAGATTCTTTCTCCATTCATCCTTACAGACAGTGAGTTGATGTATTTTTGTTGAAGTACCAGTTTTTTTAATGTTGTAGAACTTTCTGGTTTTCATTTCTAACGCTGCCAAAAAGGAGAGGATCCCTGGAAACATCCAAGATCTGCATCATTCATGACCCCGAGTTGTTTTGTGGGTCACTACAGAGAGTGTTTTAATTGAGCTAAATAGAGCATACAAAAGATCAATGGAGCATTGTGAGATTTTGTCGTGTAAGTTAAAGTAGACACAACTGTTTAATTCTATACTTGCCTTCAGCCCAAGAGACCCATTTTCAAAATTGTATTTTGATTATATTGCATATTTTCTTTAAAAAGTCTGCATGACAGAATTAGGGTTAGGTTAAACTGTCCTTCCATTACAGTATTTATATTTATATCATAAAGCTTTTCAGTGATGTTAAGCTCATTAATTCCTGACAGTTTTAAAGCAGGATTTCCAAACAGGCACATTGCTGGTCTGTCACAGCTTAGGTCAACAGGGAAACTGGCAGTTTTTAAGAAGATCCTAGAAACACATTTTGAAATAGTTGGAATGGTTAAACTGATAAATAGACTGTTAAGTGCTTGAAATGACAGTTTTTTAAATTGTCATATGGCACATTGCTGCTAGAGATTGTTTCTGCTGGAAGGGGACAGGAAAAGTCTCTGCCTTCCCACAAAGGTTTCCGAACTTCAATGTTTTCTCATTCATCCTGAATCACACTGGCTAGTTAAATGATTGGATTATCAGGATTTAGTGATTCTAAATAATTTCATTGTTTCATCAGTCTTATAATTTTAAAATACTTTATTATTAATTAGTCAAGACTTCAACATGAATAATAATGTATCAGACCAAAATAATGTACAAGTTTTCAACGGTTTCTAATCTTTCAAAATATTTTAATAGAGTTTTGAAGAAACCAATGCTTTCATGATGAAAACATACTTTCAATAAAAAACATTTAATTGAAAAATTCTGCAACAGCTCTTTTAATTATCACTGAATAAAAATATGATAAAATATTATACAGAAAAACTGAGAAAGATCATATCATCACATATTAGAAGCACAGCAGTCTTTTTTCATACTCTGCTCATGTGTAAGTTAAAAACTGTTGCCCTAAATGCTCAAAAAGATGAAAAGAGAGCGTTTTCAGCTATTGCCTACATATTTAATGATTATATAGCAGATATGGTGTACATGTGCCTTTTCGAGTTTCACTGATCTATGAACTTTATATTATGCAATATGAAACAGAATGCAATTGTATTTTAAACAGTTTTATGCCAGAAAAATAATGAAGATGATAGAACAATACAACACTAAATATTTGGTAATAGCATTCATTAAAAGCCTTATTTTTTTAGTAATTCATACTTTTCTACCAATTTATTTAAAATATTTACATAAACTTTGCTTTATTTGAGTCAACTGAGTTTAAAAGCTAGTATTGAATATGCAAGTGATGTCATAGGAACCATACTTGAAACACTGCATTTTGATGTCCTCTCTGAGAGTACAAGCAGCTACTTTTGTATGTACAAATGAACTCCTAGAACATGTTTTGTATGAGTTTATCAGTAACATGATGCTACACATTCTCCATCCATTGTTGACCTCTCCAGGTGGGACATATTTGGAGCTGTCATTGGTACTGAATGTGGGACACTGGAATCTGGCTCAGCTATGGTATTTCTCAGAGATGGAGAAAGAAAAATATGCACTCCATACATGGACACTACAGGTTATGGGAACTTAAGGTTTTATTTCAGTATGGGTGAGTATATATTCCTAATGTAATACAACATGTGAAGCATGTGAGATTTCAATTGTGCAGTGTGCATAGAACTACTTTAAAGACTCCTCAGAAGAGGATAGCTCTGATTTGTGACTGTGATGCCCACAAGGATGTAAGACTCACCACTGTCAGTCAGACGAGAGTCCACCCTTCTGGATGCCCACACAGGTATACAAACAAGGTGGGCACATAAATAGGCCTCCCAAAAATAGCCTCCCAGATGACACTGACTTGCAGATGAAAACCTTCCTGAACCAGACAGGGCACTCTGAGTTCAGTAGCCCTTGGTGGACTTTTCTTCCATAGATTTATCCACCCATTTTTTTTGTCTGATATAAACATCTAGCTCCAAGTTAAAACAGTTTAATATAGAAGTTGCATGAAGGTGTGTCCATCAGTATTTAAACTTCCTTTATAGTTAAACAAGATGTGGTCAGTACAGTTGCTGGAAAAACCCATTCAGCTCACCACGAGATAGCTCTGCTAGACCAGCTGAGCAGCTCCCTGGACTCCACTGACGGCATGAGTTGGATCCCCATTGATATAAAGGAAGCTTAAGCACTTGGTGCACACAGAGGTGTTGGTTCACTCTTGTTCAGTCCTCAGGCAGGATTCATTACACAAGCACAGGTTGTTATTGCCACTTGAGGTGTCCAAACGAACCTAAGACATCAGCACAAGGCTGCCAGATATAACCCAGGACGTGAGGGGGAGTCACAGCCTGCTGGAGTAGTAGCTAGGTGAGGCAGGCCCCTCCACAGTGTTTAAAATGATCTTTGGTACTTGTGGTTAATCAACTGAACCTGACTGTTGTGCCCACAGCTCCATAGTTTAACAATTCTTCATCAATTCTTCATCATTCTTCAAGCATCTTCTTGTCTTGTCTCTTCTAATTTCACTCAATGCCACTTACTCTATTATTAGAAGAGATAGTAATATCTTTGTCCTCCTTACCACACCATAGAGGATTTAAAGGTACCTGTGATATCCTCCCACAGTCATATCCATGTAGACCCTGGTATTAACCCATCAGAGTCGACAGAGTTGCACTCGAGGATGAGATAGGAGTAGCACAGAGGTGGGACAGCCTTAGCTGGTTGAACCTATAGAATAGTTTCTGCTTAAAAGCCCTTACTATATTCATAAATATTTTCCTCTGCTAACGTATTGGCCTAGGATGAGTTTCACACAGAGTGTGCTATAGTGTTCTAGGGTCTCGGAGGAGGTACGGCCTACATGTTGTCTCTCTCGTGAAAAGCACTGATGTGGTGTTAGCATCATCTGTGAACCTTCCCTGCTCGGACAAAGTGCAACCTCAGTCATTTACCAGGGCTAAGAAAGGAGCCAAGAACAAACCCGTCCTGTCACTTCCCCTCCCTGCTGTTGCTGTCAGTGCAACTGCACCAGTTGGGTGTTGCAACAAACCAAAATCCCTATGAACACGGTGTTTATCATTCAGTACCTCACAGTGTTTTTCCAGAACTTTTATTTTGCGCATAAAGGAAATTGCATGAAGTTATTCTGTCAACACCATGTTTGGGGGAGGTAAGAATTTTTGCTTAAAAATAGAGAATAATAGAATCATAAAGGAGGAAGCAGAAACTAAACTTGTGACCTCCACAAGCAAACTCTGAATCAACAAGAAAAAACACACTTTATTTAATGAATAGAAGACCTCATGTTGTTGTCCTAAATTGTTGCACATCTCCTCTGCTTTACATGAATTACCAATAAAGCACAGGAAAAAGAGGATGCTTTTTCCCAGTTCTTCCAAGCATTACACACCTGCAAGAGAAACAGGAAAGAAATTTGCTCAACCTTCTGAACTTAGGGGAGAAGTTGTCAGCACATGCAGGCACAGAGGATAGTGGGATATCGCCTGAAAAATTTATTCTGTACATACTTGTAAATTAAACAAATAATAGTTTAAACCTTCAGGCAAGCAGAGGATTTGAAAGGACATGTGGATGTTCGTTATTACAGCATAATACACATGAAAGACGCACACCTTATCTAGTTCTCTGGACTGCTTTGCCTAGTCCATTCCAAGAACTATCCACCTGCAGTGAAAAAAGCAGAGAAAGTGTTTCATATATGCAACCTTTCTACTTTACAGATTTTTCAAAGAAGCTTCCTCATCCTATTTGTTTCTGGGTTGTTTTTTTTTAATACCTGCAGTACCCATAGTGTACAGGGAAATGATGTTCCCTGTTTCAAATTCAGATACTTTGTTTAAAAACCTTTTTTCCAGAACACCAAACTAGTGTGATGATGTCCATCTCCTAACTATAATGCAGAACTTAGTGCTCATATTTGCCAATACATCTGCTCTTTCAGAAAGGTTAGTAAGTGTTTTGGGTTCTACTGATGTGAAGATACTCCAAATGCTGCCCCGTTCCTGTGAGGCAACCATGTCACACTTGTTTTGTGTGATACAATAGACTCCATCGATCCCTTTTTAGGATATGGTGTAGACAGTAGAAGAAGCAGCACAACAAATAAGGTACACAGCAGTCTTCCTTGTTTCCTGCTAAGAACACATTCTCAGCTGCTAAACTATCAGCTGAGAAGTGTTTAAGAGGTCCTCACATATGATGTGTGTGGCTGCACGGAGTGTGAGTACTAAACAGTTTACTGACAAGAAGTCAAAAAGCAGAGCATTTCTGTGTAAATAGGATTTAAAGCATACAGATAAAAGTATTGCTTTAGGCACAGCATTTTCTATTTAAATTGTTTTGATAAGCTGATTAAGAGAAGTACTTGAGGTTTTCATAATTGTCACCCCCCTTGATCTCTGGCATGGTGTATCAGATCAAATAGTTCTAATACACTGTGCCCTTAGGTCTGGTGTTCTTTTGTTTCATATCCTAAGTTAAATAGCATCTGATTGTAATTATTTTCATAATTATGGCTGCGTAATATGATTCCACTTTCCAATAACAAGGGCTTCAATTAATTTTTTTCTCCCTCAAATGTGTGTTGTACAGGAGGAACGTGTGATTCTGGAGAATCCCATGAAAATGATGTCATACTTTACGCCAAAATTGAAGGCAGGAGGGAACACATACCTCTTGATACTCTGACCTATGCTGCCTACAAGGTAAATCACCTTAAGCAAAGTAGGTGGATGGGATGGATAGATCAATTTATTTTCAGGCCGTCACAAAGATGTTGCATGTTGAATTCCAAAGGGCAGTCAAACATGACGTTCCCAAGCACATAAATCTTGCGCAGATCTCACAGTGATAGGGTGCTTTTGCAGCACGGCTCTGCAGTTATTGCTGACTACTCCACCCCTGAGCAGGACTGCGACGTTGGCTTGTGCTAGGATAACAGGCAAATGAGCAATGGGCAAAAATTTTGGGCTGTCAGCTGAAAACTTTAGTCATAACGTCTCCTCACAAATAATTACTCCTGTCTCCACTCAAGCTCCTGCTAACCACGGTTTGATAGGAGCTACATCCTGAGAGGGTCAGTCATGGTGGGATCAGTGGCTAGGTGGAGAGTGACTCGGAAATGCCTTGATGTCTTTCCCATGCCTAGTGTAGGAAATTTCACATTTTACAATTTTTCTTTCCATTTTAAATAGTTGTGTGCCTGCTTAGAGGGTCTGCAGTGATGCAGGCACGAACTCAGTCTGAACTCAGGAGGTGGTTGCTGGCAGCATGCACAGGCAGCATCTCCTCTGCCCATAGTGCAGCCTCCTGCCAGCCACGTCCACCACCTTCAGGCAGGACAATAAGGACCTCCAGCTTGCTGTCAGGATCCTTCCTGTCTAGGGCAAGGAAGAACTTAGACCATGTCTACCCTAAGTAACCCAGCCCTGAGGTGTCCTTATTCTGCTGCTGTAAAACAGACAGTAAAAATTGATGTGTGATACATATACACATGGATGCACCACAGATTGAAATGCGGTATGCTTATACAGTGTGTGGGAAATTTGGTGATAAAGATGCAGCTGATTTCAAGCACAAGTCTGTGTGCTTTTTCACTGTAACTCCAGCATTCAGACAGCAAATGTTTACAGTAGGGCTTGGCCTGGGTTTGGTTGAGTCACTTGCATTGTTTCATTGTATGTGGCTTCCCTCCTCTCCTGCTTCTGTGTGAAAGACAGGGTAGAGCTTTTTTAAAACTAAGGAAACTGTAACTGCAAAATAATAAAAAAATTAATTGGGGAACTCAGGGAGAGATAGGATCTGAAATTACACTAAATTCATTGTGGAGTATTTTTTAAAACAAGCAGTTTTAAAGCTGGCATCCTCTTTTAACATAATAAAGGTCTTAAGTTTTTAAGACGTTGCTTTAGGACAAAGGCTAAGCTTTGTAAAGCAGTGCTTTCATTTATTTCAACAACATAATATCCTCCCTCCATATGCCTGTGAACTCATGCTATTACTCCGTTCTCACGTATTCAGACTAGACATGCCATTACCCTGCCTTTGCTTCTGTGAGCTGAAAGGCTCCAGGACAAATATCATCTTCCATTACCAGCTGAGCACTGACAAAATAAACCAGTATTTTTCAGAACGCAGAAGGTACAGTCTTTTCTACAGTGTCTTTACAACCAAACAATCTGATCCCACTAAGGTGATAAGCAGCACTGGTATCCAGAGTGTTAACAGCTATGCACGTGATATAAAATGTTTTTTTTTTGGATCTTTTGTGGGAAAAGGTGGCTAAAAAAGTTTACAGCAATGAAGCAAGGAGAGAGAAGAGCACATGTTTGGTTCAGCACACTTGGAGTTGCTTCTCTATTTCAAATAGTACCTTATGACCTTTTTGAATATTTTTTATTTTTATTTAAGCCTGATTTAATTTCTTTTAAAGGTTCCATCTTTGGTTTCTGTTGTCATTAGTCCGGACCTGCAGACTCCTGCAACCAAGTTTTGCCTGAAGCAAAAGAGTCACCAAGGCCACAACAGGAATGTCTGGGCCGTGGATTACTTCCACGTCCTTCCAGTGCTCCCTTCCACGGTGACTCACATGATCCAGTTTTCCATCAATTTGGGTTGTGGAACTTATCAACCTGGTAACAGGTACAACCAGTGAGCTCTCTCTTTTGTTTATCAGCTTTCTAATACATTTTGGTTTATAACATCTATATAAGTATTTGGAATTTTTTTTCCTCAGAAAGAAAGGAGCCAGTTAATAATGACAAATATAAGGTGCTCAAAAGTTAATGTTTCTCCTCATCTCTGCAGGCCCAGATTTATATATCTCGCATGCAATAAGGAGTCTATTAAATAGCTTTCCAGATCAAAACTTGCTTTTCTTAGTCCATATTCTGAAATATGCTCACGATTTCAGAGCGACTTTTGCTTCATTTTCTAATAGATAAGTGATTTACCTCTCAATAGTGTGTAAAGGGGAAAGTATTAAAGACAGCAGCAGAAACCTGCCCTACTGACCTCTGACAGATTACCGATGCCACAAGCATATCTAATTCTTGTAAGACTGGTGATAAATGGTTCTCATCTAAATGACCATCAGTGAGAGGACCTCATCGTCTGTAGACTGACCACATAACTCTTTTGCTGGCTTCATTTCTTTCGGACATTCAACATGATTTTTTCCACGGAGTTAAGGGACAGGGAAGGGGAAAGAAAGGAGTCATTTGCTGCTCCATATTTTTTAGAATTGTAGAAATGTTGGTTGGAAGGGACCTTCGCAGGTCATGTAGTGAAACCTGCTGCTGCCAGTGGGATTGTTACCACCATAGGTCAGGTCAGCCATGGCTTTGTCTATCCATGACTTGAAAAATCTCCATGAATGGATATTGTGCTACCTCTGTGGGTGACCTGTTTAAGTGAAAAAGTGTTTCCTAATGTCCAGTGCAAAACTCTGAAGCCACGTCTTTATGGCCATTGCCCTTTCCGCTGTGCCTGCCAGTACTGAGGAGAGTTTGGCTCTGCCTCCCTTGTGCGTGCCCTCTGCACCATCGCAGGCTGCCATAGCTCTCCCCTCTCACCAGGCTGAGCCAGCCGGCTCCTCGGCCCCTCCTGGCTCGATGCGCGAGGCCACGGACATCTTGGTCATCCTCTGCTCCACCTCTCCAGTTTCTTAACATCCTTCTTCAAATAGGGGACCCAAAACCAAACTGCCCACTGTCCCTCTTTCCTTATGTACATGTGAGACTGTTTATCCTGATACTTTATAAGGATCAAGTTACTTTCTATTTCTCCAGAATCAAGAGTTTAAAGTAAGAGACTGTAAATGCTTTCACATCTATGTCCTGTGGCATCTACTTCCAACTGGAAAGAGCTGCATTAGCACTGGCAGTCCTAGCAGCCATGCAGGGCAGCAGTATTCAAGGGGCAGCAAAAATCAAGGCATTGCATTTATATGTGATAGGAAGGGAAGGCAGCAACATTTTTCTACATGGAAAGTGAAAACTTTGCCTGTAAACATTCCTGGCCTGTAAACGTGTTATATAAAGTCGCTATCTCAGTGTATTATCTGATGTGCATTAGTATATATTTTGAAAGATTAATATTCTTCCTTCATGTAAACTATTTCTGAAGCAAAGTAAGCTTCTTCATAACAGAAGAAGCACTAGGTCCCCATTATCCCTGTTTGTATTTCCCAAATACAGCAGCATTTCCCATCTCCTGGTCCACAGCATTACTCATAATGCTTTCATTACTGCAAATGTGAGAGACTCGCACTGAATATAAGCAGTAAATATGACCCTCCAAGGTATCAGTACAGTTAAATCTGAAATAAATTAGTCAAAACCTCCATAAAACATTTTAATACACATTTACAATATCACAGTGATGGTACATTTAAATAAAGTAATATTGTCAGCAAATTATAATGAAAAGTTATAATCCAATAATTTAGTATTGAGGTGATGCATTATGACTTTTATAATGTTCCACTGACATTACTTAAAATAAAACAGAATATTACAAGCTAATTATACAGAGGAAATTACAAGAGTATTTCAGTAAAATACTAAATCCATAATAAATCAAGCACTTTCTATATTACTTTTTCAAGGTCTTCAGAATGTAAGACATCTAAGGACTTCCTTACACTCCTAGATTGTAAATAAACAGGGAAGGAAAAAATTCTAGTAATAGCTTTTGGAAAATTGAACTTGTCAATGAACTTTCGGGAGAATGGGTTTAGTAACTTGTCATAGACTCAGTGGATGGTTTCATAGAGTTTCCAGTTCTCTAATGTCACTATCTGCCCATGGATTGCTTGGTTTACTACTAGTCTATGGAACCAGAGAACAGCAGCTTTTTTCCAAGCAAATCTGGAAATTTTGTATATGGTTATGTCACAAAATTCACAAAAATTCACCACTGAGCACTCCAGGCTCTGTAAGGGGAGAGGCCTCTGTAAGAGGCCTCCAAAGACCACTATGGCTGGGCAGTGCAGAGGCTCCCACGGCTCCCGGGGGCTCTGTCTGCTATGGGGGCCTTTGAAGGGTGCTCTTACCCAGGTCCCCTCCACCTTCTGCAGTCCTCAGCGGGGGCTGGCCATTTTCACTGTTCCATAGTGCTTTTCTGATCTCAATTCAGGCGTGATGGATGGAGGAGGCAGATGACTGAGTAGTCCAATGAAGTTAATATTGGTCGGCAACGAAAGGGAAGAGCTAGCTGGTGCATGAATAACTAGTGATCTTTTACCACCTTCTGAAGATGTAATGGTTAGCAGCTGGCAATTATAGCCATCCTGTGCTCACATGATGCTGTCTAGCTCTGATTAATACAAGTTTTCTCCTCATTATTTTTGAAACCATTTCTAGCTGGAAACAGGTGGTAGCCAAACAAGGACTAGGTGTTTAGACAATCCTTAGTCTACAGGCTACCCTTTTAGTTTTTAAACATCCAGATTTGTTTCATGTTTGTATTTTCAGGATTTTTTGTATTCAAAGTTTGCTTAAAATTGTTTCATATTTCAGCATCAGTTATTAGGAATAGCAGATTTGATGGTTTCTCAGTGCTGGTACTTCTACATTCATATCTATGCCAGGTAGGTTCACAGTGTCTTTCTCCTTTCTCTCCTTCACTGTTATCAGCGTCAGCTTGGAGTTTTCAACCAACCATGGTCGCTCTTGGTCCCTGCTCCACACCGAGTGTTTGCCTGAGATATGTGCTGGGCCTCACCTCCCCCACAGCACCGTCTACACCTCTGAAAATTACAGCGGGTGAGAGTGTTCTCCGCAAAGCTAACTGAGATGCAAGATTAGAGAAGTGAATTATAGGTGACAGAAGAAAGCAGCAAAGCACACAACCCCATGCCATCTTTCATTTTTGACTAGCTGAGGACAGCAAGGAAGGAGTGTTCTGGTCTCCCTGGCTGCCCAGTAATGAAACTAGAAATATATGGGGCTGCTTCTGTGGTATAATATTTTTTTTCTGAATCTAAAGATAAATTACAAAAAAAAAGCCTGTGGACAGCATGCTGGTAATTAGAAGAAAAGATATACCTTGTCAAAGACACAAAAGTTTTCTTCTTAGCTAGAGAAACCATCAGTCAAAGCCATATTTACATCCTCAGACACCCTTACTCACTTGGAATCCCAATATTGGGTTCCAATGAAGCACATCCTCTGTACTTCAGCAGATGGAGGTGGTTGTTACTGTCACTTTCTTATATCAACCCTTCTCTTTATTAAGTCTCTTCAGTACTGTTCTGACCATAAAATGTACTGTGACATCTTGTTGCATAGCGCAAATCCTATGACTGTATATCCTTCTGTATCCTGACTTCCTATGACTATGAGAAGAAAGTGTAGCTGAAGCATTGCTGTGGTCTGGTGACCCCCCACCCCCCCATTCCTGTAGCATTTTCATAGGAACCATTACCCCTGGCATGTGTAGGAAGTGTAGCTGCCATGGATGATATGAGAATGATGGCCCAGACCAAAGCACGCCAAGTCCTCTGTGCCCTTCTTCTCAACTCCAAGGGTTTCCATCAGAGTTCAGTCATATTGAAAGGTTTAATTCAGTATGCAATTTAGGAGATATTTATTGTGATGGAGAATTCACTATAGCGAAGCAGGTTAAGGTCTTTGCTGACTTCATGCATTCATACAGAGGAAAAAAATGTCTGGCTTTCATAATGTAATAATTAACATTCATATATTCTATGAAAATATCGTGGGCCATGTTCTTTTTTTTCGTTTGTGTTTTCTAAAGCTGCAGTAACTTCACTGCTTCATTTGAGTAGATTTTATAATTAAAAATTCTCACAAAACTTCCAGTATAAGTAAACAAATCTGTAAAAAATAGTTACTTAATCACTGTCAGTGTAAAATGCTAGCATTTGTGTTATATGTATTTCAGGTGGAACCGAATAACTATTCCCCTTCCCAATGCTGCATTAACAAGTGACACCAGGATTCGATGGAGACAAACAGGACCAATCCTTGGAAACATGTGGGCAATCGATAATAGTTAGTATTCTTATCCTTGATCATGATACATCGAAAGAGTAAATTTTTATATGCTGCTCCAAGTAAATGTATTTTCCACGATCACAAGTCAAAGGAATTTCAGTTTGTTCAATTCCTTTTCTTCTTATCTGCACTTGGTAACAGGTGCATTTTGAAGCTAGAGGGGAATTCTGCCATTTGAAAAGACAATAGCCTAGTAGATTACTTCTTTTTTTTTTTTTTCTTTTAATTGAATGCTTTCCAGGAAAATATATTGGTGGCAAGGGCTTAATGTAACATTTCCTTTGAGTGCTCAGTCCTAATTACATAAATACATACTACACTGTGCTATTAAGGACATATACTGCACTAGCCTAAGCAACAGTTACAGCATCTGGGACATAATTTTCCTTCTGGACATAGAAGATCTTCATAAAGCAATGCTGCTACCAAAACACTGACAAAACTTTTATATTGTTTACATTATCTTTAAGGGGAAAGTACCATCTGTTTCAGGGAACTGTTATTTTAGGAAGTTATTTTTCACCTACCTGTTCTTTAAATGGTTGTGAAGAACTGGGAGGAGCTTACATTGACTCATATAATTATAAAACAGTGCAGAAGATAACCAGGGGCAGTCTTGAAAGGAAATACTTTAAAGCACAGAAAAAGTATTTAAGAACACAGGATAAAATAGATACAATGTATGAAATGCAGAAATAAGCATGATTGAAAGCGCCAGCTATGAAAAGGACAAATTTTTTAACTTGCTCATTAGCCTTAAATGATTTTGGACTAGGTAAGCCACATCCAGATTTTGCTTTGTCAGATGTGTGAAGTATGTAATTTAAAGATTTACGGTGATTTTGTAGTGATTCCCATTAAGGTTTGATATGGAGCCTGGGAATGGTAAATAGTTACATTTTGCAAAATTCTTAAAATAGATTAATGCCTAGTTTTGAAAAGAAAATCCTTGAAGCTGATAAGGTAATGCCACAAATGAAAGTTTTGCACAAAAAGTAATGAAAATTATTCTCTTAATCATATTAATGGGAAGTAGCATCATCTCGACATTCTGGATAGAGTCTAAATGCTTGTCTTTAGAGATGATAATATACATCAAAAAGAAAGTAAAATGAAGAGCATGCTCCAGTATGCGTCATCTCAAAAGAAGTTTTACCAACCATCTGCTTAAAAAGTGCCTGCTCTGAAATTTGTTTAAGGTGTAGAACACTTACAGCACTCAAGTTTTAAAGATTAACATGTTTCTGAGGTTTTGCATGCCTCTCTTGTTAGATACTGCTGAAACTGAAGTTTACACTTTTTTAGGAAAAGATTTATAAATACTGGAAAGCCACTCGAATTCTTGAAGAGAGGAAGATTTTCAAGGATTCAGCACTCTGACTTTTAGCTTCATAACTGTTTCTTATGTGAATTAAGTTTTACATGAAATCTGGAAGCTGGCCATCTTTTAGAAACACTGGAAAACTGCCAATTTCCATAAAGCTTTTTCCATTTTGAATGACATCATTACATCTTTAACCCTTGTACTTTTACCACCCCCTCAAAAAGACCTCAAAAGACACAAACTAATCAAACAGACAGAACAGAATTTTTGCACCCTGAAAAGTGAGAAAATCTAGAAATCAAATGAAATCTGATGGGGAGTTAGTTACAGGGAGTAGCTAACAGGGATTTAGAACACGTCTGCCAGGGAGTACTGACACACTTATGATGGGCAGCATCATCAAACTAGGAGAGGGAGGAAGTACTGCTTGTTATAGATAATTTCGAATTGGTGGCTATTTGGATGACATTCCAAAAGTCACAGTGCAAGTGGATAGCTGCATGTAATAGGCATTCTTCAACAGAAAAGATGACAGTATTCATGATTAAGGCCTGTTTATCACATCGTATTGAAAGAACATTGCCCATGAGTTACCATTTTGGGCTACACCCAGATTAATGCATTTGGTCTATACCCAGATTAATGCTTTTCTTTATAGTAGTGCAATGACATGTAGATTATACTGGGATTTGCTCATCTTTCAGTCCTTCATATTTTTCACAAAATATCAACAATGTCAACTAGGAGTTATTAGAGGAAGATGAAGTAAAAGAGTAAAACAAGTCTGGAGTATTTTTGAGTACATATGATTTGGAAGTTTATTCCATTTGAAAGAATCAGTGAAAGTGTATAATATTTAATAGTTACCTAAGACTTACCAGGGGAGGTTCTAATTCCAATAAGTCCAATGAAGTATGTGGAGTGAAGAGTGAGAAGTCAGAGAAGCAATGGCACATTTTTAAGATCTACAAGACTGCTATTGGAATGTACTAATATATACATTGGACTACATCTCTGAAATAAGATGAAGAAAAGGAAAGGTAAGAAAATGGTCAATGCAGAGAAAATCATCTGATCTTTTTCACAGTCTTAGAAAAATCAGGTACATTAATTAAAACATTGCCAGCGTCTCAAGTCACAGGTAGACATTACCCGTTAAATAATAAATTATCCCTGCCTATCCTGGACACAGTCAAATGCATTTTATCTTTTTGTAGACCTCTTCCAGCTAGTGGGATTAAGATAAATACAGTAATAAGCATAAATACAGTCTGGGCAGAGAAGGGATTGAGAGCAGCCCTGAAGAGGAGGACTTGGGGGTACTGGTGGATGAAAAGCTGGACATGACCCAGCAATGTGCACTGGCAGCCCAGAAAGCCAACCGTATCCTGGCCTGCATCATCAGCAGCGTGACCACCAGGTTGAGGGAAGGGATTCTGCCCCTCTGGTCCGCTCTGGGAACCCCAACACAAGAAGGACATGGACCTGTTGGAGTGAGTCCAGAGGAGGCCACGAAGATGATCCGAGGGCTGGAGCACCTCTCCTGTGAGGACAGGCTGAGAGAGTTGGGGTTGTTCAGCCTGGAGAAGAGAAGGCTCAGGGGAGACCTTAGAGCAGCCTTCCAGTACCTAAAGGGGACTACAAGAAAGCTGGGGAGAGACTTTTTACAAGGGCATGTGGTGATAGGACAAGGGGTAATGGTTTTAAACTGGAAAAGGTTAGATTTAGATTAGATATAAGGAAAAAATTCTTCACCATGAGGGTGGTGAGGCACTGGAAGAGGTTGCCCAGAGAAGCTGTGGATGCCCCATCCCTGGCAGTGCTCCAGGCCAAGTTGGATGGGGCTTTGAGCAGCCTGGTCTGGTGGAAGGTGTCCCTGCCCATGGCAGGGGGAGGAGAAATAGATGATCTTGAAGGCCCCTTCCAATCAAACCATTTTATGATTCTATGAATTGTATGATCAGGTCAGTATACTTTCTTATATTCATTGTATTCTGTTTATCACATAACATAACCCTTAATTTATCTGATTTCTTTTCTCTCCAGTTTATATTGGTCCATCTTGCCTCAAGTTCTGCTCAGGGCGAGGACAATGTACTAGAAATGGCTGCAAGTAAGAGTTATAATTCAGTACTTGTATTCAATTTCTGTCACATAGTTCACTTGATGATCTGCAAGTTGAAGTGATTTTCATTTCAGTCCTTGCTTTTTGAGATGACTAAATATAAAACTAGCATAGCCCCCAGAATGCATAAAGCTCACTGAAGGCTAAAGATCAATCTTTCTAAACAGCAGCATATTTATATTTTTTAAATCATTTTCTTTTGGAAGAGAGTCCAACTTCCAGTTCACCTTAAAATGTGCTACAGAGCACACTGAAATGTCAATGATACATGCTTTATACTGGTTTTAGGGACTGTATCACTTTTATATTAAATTTTGGGAAAGAATCACAATTTTCGTAGTTCTAATATCCCATAGCCTAACAGACCTCAAGCACAGAAGGTCAGCACTCCACTTTTTTCCGAAAGTCTGGCTTGTTAAAATGATTCCAGCCTAGAAAGTAAAGGTATTTACCCAAAACCTGTAAGCACATTCAAGATATTGGTCTAATTATTTTTAGGTATTAATAAGAGTGTGACCCACAGGGCATTCTGTTCTGTTACTCAATTTCTTGTGATCATATCTGACATACTACAGATAAAAGCAAATTCATCATTTTACATATGAACAACTGTAAATTGTGTCAGCAGTATTTTTGTTCCAAAAATGAATAAAAATATTTCTGTAGTGTGTGTTATGTGTAGACTGGTGAGGTGTGCATAATTGTAATTTTTTTTTAATTGGAAAAGTAAGCACTGGCTAAAGGAAAGTCATTGGCTAAACCTAAATAAAGTTTAAAGAGGTTCTTGATCCTTAGATTTGTGAGAGATTTTATAGGCATCTTCAGTTCATGAACTGCAGCCACCGTGTTGGTTTGCCAACCAGGCACAGAAGAAGATGGATCATTAATTACACTGTTCAATCTTCCTCACCCACAGGTGCGACCCCGGGTTTTCAGGGCCAGCATGTGAGATGGCGTCGCAGACCTTCCCCGTGTTCATCTCAGAGAGCTTCACCAGCTCCCGCCTCTCCTCCTACCACAATTTTTACTCCATCCGGGGGGCTGAGGTCAGCTTTGGCTGCGGGGTCCTGGCCAGCGGCAAGGCCCTGGTCTTCAACAAGGATGGGAGGCGACAGCTCATCACCTCCTTCCTAGACAGCTCCCAGTCCAGGTGAGAGAGAAAGAACAGTAATGTGAGGCAAAGAAACTGGGGAACCCCTCCCCTTCCAGCTATGACCTTGTGTATTACTAAGCTGTTTGTTTTAGCAGGTAGAAAAGTTTTTTAAAAACTTCTAGTTCCATTTTTTAATGGTGATTTCATAGCCTTGCCTTTTTTTCCTCCTGATTTGTAAACAATAGAGCCTAAAACAGACTGGAAGGAAGTTATTGTACAGCTTGGATGGAAAATACAAAATGGTAATATCAAGCTTGAGTGTCGAAGCCAAGTGCTAATTAATTATTTATAAGGTTGTGTTTATTTGACAGCTTGTGGCAGCTGATTAGATCCATTCACTATCTCTCCCTCCTTTTCAGTGCCTAATAAATAATTAAATGCTGTAATGATTGGCATTTTTTAACTATATGTGCCACATTGCATTACTTGACAGTAAAAACAAATTGCATGTACAAAACCCCACAACTGATATTTATCAAAATTTGTCTAGATTGAGAAGAACTGAAAACAACCTGGTTAGGAAAAAAAAAAAAAAAAGCAAGCACTATACCCTATAAATATTTGTGTAATTCTGATCCAGGTTCCTGCAGTTCACACTACGCCTAGGCAGCAAGTCAGTGCTGAGTACCTGCAAAGCACCCGACCAGCCTGGGGAAGGAGTGCTGCTGCACTACTCCTACGACAACGGGATTACCTGGAAACTGCTGGAACACTATTCTTATCTCAACTACCATGAGCCAAGGTATATGCATAATATTACAAGGAGTGTTACCTCCATGCAGTTAACGCTGGTAGTGGTAGTCACTGCAATGCAGAGACTAAGTACATCTGCCCACATGGTGCAGGGGTGAGTGGAGTGAAGATATTTTACTGCACGCTGAAAGTTACTGCTTTTCCTTAAAATTTTGCAGCTGTTCTGGGCACTTCCCATTTTTGCCTGCATCTATGAAAATGAATACATGGATTTAACGGCATTCCAGTCTCAGGTGATGTGACAGAATAAGCCAAGGCAGTAGGGGATGAGGGGTAGAAATGTATTTGTGGGAAATAGGGGCATGTTTCTTCCCATGGAAGCAGCCATTTGTAAAGAAAAATTAACATAAATTATTTGTAGCTTTGAAGCCATGGATACCTTCACTACACTATCTTCTGGGATTAGGAGTTTTCAGACAGCACAAGACAGCTGAGACAAAATCTGACCATGAGGGTCTATCCAGGTCAGCAGGGAAATTTCGCTTGCTGCCCTTATGAAGGGGATTACACGACTTTGTGCCAATGCCTGTGGGTTGGACTGGGCGCCCTGGGAGAACCTTCTGGTGACCATGCCTGGGAATCATACAAATCATGAAGAAGCTGAACAAAGAGCTCATCTCATCTAGCAGCACCTATGTTTGGGATTAGATTAGAGAGGAATGTATCTGCCGTATTTAGAGAAGAAGGATTCTTTACTGTTACATTTGTGAGACCATCCACTGATTTCAATAAAGCAATGCAAAATCAGGAAGTCCCCATGAGCACACCTGTAGTGCAAGCCCAGAACAATCTGGGCTGGCTCCATGCAAACCCACTCAGGCGTGGAAGGATCCAGCTTCACAGGGTGCTGCAGCAGAGCCAATAAATCCCAGTGAAAGGGGATGCTCTGCGAGGAGGCACAGGAGACGCAGAGTCGATGGTGGCACCACGGGTCCTGTCCCAGCAGGTCCATTCCTGTCCACAGGCAGCTTTACACGGGGTATTGCCCTGCGTCCCCTTCTCTGCCTCTCTGCCCAGTTCCAGGATACTGCATGTAGACTTGAATATCTGAAGTTTTAAACATTTCCAAAAGAAGGATCCTACGAACTGGAAGACTCATGAGCCACTTTCAAAATTTCCTTTTCTGTCATTTATTATAGTCACATATATATTTTATATGGCCCTGTTTCTAATTCTTAGGTCCAAGATCACAGCTGTAGGAACTATATTTCCCTAAAGGTTTTTAATATGTAGCACTATGAAATTTTTACAGCAAAAAGGAAAATACACATTCCAGTGACTGATTTTAATGAAGTTTAAGATATAAATGTAGTAAATTATATTGATGCCAGAGACTTCTTTTGCTTTTTGAGATTAAGTATGAAACACAATTTCTGTTGTTCTAATAGGGCAAAGAGCTAAGCACAACATGCACAAGTTAGTAAGGTTTTGCCATGGGATGTGTATAGTCCACTCTGGGTAGACAGAAAAATGACAGACATACAAGCCTGAAGATAATGCTGGCAATAATTATGATGAAGAACATGAAGAAAGCTTCACCTTTTCATACTATGTTGTGTGAAAATATCAGCATTTTTGGTAACATAGATGGACTGCTGCAAAGTTTGGCAATCAGTCTGTATCCAGAAATTTAATTAATCTTCAGTCATACAAAAAATAATTACACATTTAATGTTCTCCTGAAAAGGTGCATTTAATCTGCTAACATTTGACAGCTGCATTTTTCTTCTGAGCAGAACAGCGGTGGCTTTTCAATATTAGGTATGCGCATAGCTTGAAAGAATGAGATCAGAGCAAAGGTCTCCCAGCTGGTTTTTAAGAAATCTAACGGTAGCTGGTAATGTTAGTAGGAACACTTTTCTTCTCTGCAGCAGAAAAGTCATTAGCAAGAATCCCCCTCCCTCTCCATCTATCTCCAACAAATCAAAGCCAGACGAGAGAAGCTGTTATGACTGGAGATGTAGTCAGGTTCTGCATACTAACATATGTGCCATATATGATGGTTTACATCAACATTTTTAAATTGTGTTTGCTTAATCCCCTGGGATGAGAAATTCATTTTAACATGTGTTAAATATTTTAAAATCCGATAGGTGTAGCCGTGGTGTATGTCATGATTTAGGATTTTCTGTAAATTACTGTCAGTGAGAATTAGTGTCCATGTAGGAGAGCTTATGAGAGTTAAGAGTGAAAGGGAAGATGCAGGCATCAGAGACAGTCAGCAGCAGAGAAATATGCCCAGGATTATAACAGAGTATTAGCTCACACAAGTGTCAAGTGCTTCATGGCGTATGCTCGATATAGTGCTCCTCCTACCCAGGGTACCGGCTTTCCTCAAGTTCGCCCTACTGAACCATGGAAGACAAAATCATCGGTTCCTTTTAGCATCAGTAGCGATTTAATGTCATTTGTGCCTTTAAAAATTGACCCAAAAAGTCACAGAGTTGCTGCTTATTAGGGAACCCTTGGTAGAAATAATTCACGTGCCAGAGAGTAATGGGGCGTGGTCTTTCTCTTAGAAGGGTATGAAGTCATTCAAGCGTGTTTATTTGAGTGGCAAAAGAAATTTATCCACCACGCATAAAGTGTGTCACACTGCTGATGCCTTGCCATGGGGACACAGCAGCTGTCACCTCTGGCTGTCCCTCGACACTGCTCGCACCAGCCTACGACTGGCAGAAAGCAGCTCCTGGAAATGCCACCCACGACTTTTTGAGTGCTTCACACCTGTTTAGCCAAGCCATTGACTTTTTTCTTGCTAATGGATTAACATATTCTTCATTAAAATCAATGTGACATTAAACAACAGTATTATAAATTTACTCTTTACAAGGACAGTTTAGCAAGTCATTTTTAAGAGTGTGATTTTGCACTAAAAGCACCACAGGCACAAGACTCTCATATGTGCGGAACACATTACAACAGGCAGCCTTAAATCTGGTAAAAACTTGGTATTAAAGTGTAAAATGGTGTTTCCAGTTTACCTGATTTGTCATTTTATCCACATTTGCTCTAAGAGAGAAAGAAAAATATCAGCTAGTGGGTAAGGTTGCTGAAAACCCTTTTGCCAGTACATAATTCTACAGCAGTGGAGACATTTTTCCCTGTTGCCAGTCTGTTTCACAGCTCACGTGTGTTGTGTGGGGCACCATGGTCCTGGTGATTTATGGAGCTTTCAAGAAGGTGTCATTGCTGTGGCAATTAATACACGCTCCCTGCTGCTGTGTACGATAATTGCTCCTGGAAATTAGATATTACTCTTAATTTTCTTTGCAGTTTGTCAATTATAGGTTTGTTGACATAGCTGCCATGACAAATCAGGTGACCTTGTGTACCAGGAGAAGTGCCTGGGACTCACCTCCATTTGCATCTCTGTGCGACTACAGAAGAAAAGTGTCTGCCATACACATGATCGCACTGTTTGACAAGATCAACCTTTTCAACTTGAACGTGGCAGTTTATGGGGGTGGGTTCTTCTAGGATAAGAGAAACTCAAGCATGAAGTCAGTGCTGTGCAGAAACAAGCACAGATGTTAAGAAGATGCATGTCTTCAGATCAGGATAAAATCCACTGAGTCTGAGAAAATGGAGCTGCAATTCATAAGTCCTTGTCAGCTGATCATCCCTTTGCCAGTCTAAGCTCCTGGGCTTCAAATGGAGGGCATTCAGTTTTCTTCCAGCAAGGATAAGCACTTTTAAATTTACAGAGAGCTCCACAGTAGCAGCAAAATTTACAAAATTGGTGGCAACTCTTTTTTGTGGCTTTTGCACATGGCTGTCTCTTAATAAATACATTGACTACCAAGAGAACTAATGATTCCCCTGTCACTGGTAGAAGCTATACCAGTAGATGCCAAGGTACTTGTGGGCTGAATTTAACTCATGATTTTTAGGGTCAGTATAAAATGCATCCCCATGGAATTATTACAAACAGTGAAACTTTCTATAATAATTTTGTTTTGTTTTCCAGAATAATTTCAGTGGAGCTGCCTGAAGATGCAAGACAGGTTGGCATTCAGTTCAGATGGTGGCAACCGTATCACTCTTCTCAAGGTGAAGATGTGTGGGCAATCGATGAAATCATCATGACCTCTGTGCTTTTCAATAGCATCAGTCTAGACTTCACCAACCTGGTTGAAGTCACGCAGTCTCTGGGATTCTACTTGGGAAATGTTCAGCCCTACTGTGGACATGACTGGACTCTTTGGTGAGACACATATTCATTTCTGATCTACTTTTGTTTTCTTTGTCTATTTATCCTACTAAGAACCAAGTGAGTTTGGTAAATGAGTCTTTCTAGCAGCTGTTCAGAGTAATTGTGTCATCCTCACTTGATGGACAAAAATACAGTTGCTAATCTAATTACAATTAGCAGTAAGTTTTTACACGCCATTGCACAGAGATTTATGTTTGATAGGAACTTTGAATGTAGCATTCTTTCCCCACAAAAATATTTAAAAAATATCCTAACAGAAACAATTTAGAAGAGTTTCATAATCTTCACTTAAAATCCAGTCAGGTTAACACGGGTATACAGGTACTGTAATAATCTGTTAAGTGCAGACTCTGAATATTCTGTAAGTGATGTTTAGATCTGTTTACATAGCCATTAGATTAAACTTCAAAAAGTAAAGGAAGCAGAATGTTGGTAGAAGGACATTAGTCATTTGTAGTTTTTTTGTCTGGTATTATATCAATTTAGTCATTTACACTGTGATCAGTATTATGACATGTTGTAATTACGCTTAAAATGTGCTGTGTGTTTAGAAACAAAAGCAAGAAAACCTCACCTACCCCAAAGCAAAAAAAGGCAAGAAAAGAAAAATAAGTGAAAAACAAAGAAAAAAAAAAAATCCATTAGGATTGTGTAAAAATAAGCTTTTTTTAGTAAAACTTTAACCTGCTTCACAAAAATTAAATTCTGGAGTACAACAGTATAACATTTGGAATTAATACAAGAGAAGCTCAATTTAATCTCTGTATTTTGATTAAAACCAAATAACAGCTTCATGCTAGTCTGATCAACGTATAAACCCAGTACAGCTTTAATTGGCACAGATATATTTATTTGGAGAAAGTACAATCACAGTAATTATACAAAACCTCAAGAAAATATAAATAATTTTAGCGTCCCCATAGACACTCAGAGAAACACTGATGGAATTTTATTAACAAGTATCTCTGAGCAGTCTGATTTGACTTTCTGATCATCTGTCAAACTAAAAGGAGTTGGCTTAGCAGTAGGAACAACACCGTATGTGTTCTAGTGGTGATAATGAGGCAGTAGAAGCACCATTAACCACTTTAATAAGGACAAGGAAGGTACTCGCTGCTCATTAAAATGAAACAACATGTTAGGACTCAAACCGTTTGCATCTTCTTCATCAAAGAGTTGGAATGAAAGCCCTTTAATGACATTGTTTTCCCTCTGTTTTTGTAAGACCAGTTTATCATGGGGAGGGGGTTAGGTTATTTAAGATAGCAGAATTTCCTCTGTTTTCCTCCTGTGACTCTAAATCAGAATCAAAATAATAAACACAAAGCTAAATTCTCCATTCCATATATTGGCTAGGATTTGTAGTGCTCAGCCACAGTGGTAATGTTGAACTTTCCATGCATCAGATAAAGAATCAAAGCCTTTGCAATATTTCCTTACTATTTATGTACAAGTATTTTTCATTATCACTGGAAGACATGAACTCTATCCTTCACTGACCTTGTTTCTCTCAAGGGAAATTTTTAAACTTACACAAAGTCTGTACAAATGGCTGCTAGTTAAATTAATTATTGTTGGCTTTTCCCAGCTGTGAGTCCATTTGGTTCTCATTTTCTAACTCATGACTTTCTACGAGCAGAGTTTGCAGTAGCACTGACACCATCCTCTTGAGAAAAGTCTGACAACTGCTTTTTCATTAGTAGAACTATGGTAAATATGCTATAAATCATTTTACAGGGTGTCATCCCCAGGCCCATTTTCACTGAATTGCCTTTAACTGTCTATTAGACCTCCATTTCTGCCTCAGAATCTGTAAATCTGAAATATTTATCCTTAAAACTGGGGAAAACTGGGGAGGAGGATTTTTATTTTTGTTGAAGAGGGAGGTTGTTCTTTTAAATATCTGGCTTCATTTAGAAAAGAGGGGTTTGTTGGTATACATATGTTTTGAGCAATTGTGATTTTTGAGTGTTTTATAATGGTCTATATCTGAAACAGTCACTTTATTTGATTGTAATCGTCAACATTTGGTTTCAGATTCATTCTTAGACTTTATTACAGCACGTGTATTGAGTATACTGAAAGGACTCCAGAACACTTTTAAATTAAATGTTTGATGATGTATGTTAATTTATCACTTTTCCAAAATGCTTATACTCAGGCAAGGTTTTGACCCATATGCCTCTGGACTGTTACAAACTATTTACAGCCACTCACTGAAATGCATTTAAGTATTGATAAGGATGTTAACACTTACTTTTTTTTTTTAATATTCATCTGGTCACAAATAAAATAGCATTATATAAATAAACTGTCTTCAGTCAGATTACGACTTTATGATTTAACTCAATGTAATGGACAATAGAGTGTCCCTGGAACAGCCTGGGGGAAGACTGTAAATCTGACTCGTAATGAACTATCCTCATGGAGCAATGTAATAGAGTTGCCCTTCATCAGCTTCAGAGTTTGCCTGTGTTGATAAAATGTTTCGTCTTTTAGGTTAATTATTACTCTATAACATGCAGAAAGTTTCTTTCAGGTAATCAACTTAATTAAAATGTATTAATATGCTTAGGAATTATTTAGCAAAATAGGTATGATGTGATGTAAAAAGACATAAATGCCTCCTGCCTTTGATGGAAGCAAAGCTGGGGCTGGTGTGAGCATTTTGCCATCATGTCAATATTCTTGGTCACTGCAGCTTTACAAAACCAGCTGCAACTGTTTGGCTTTTCAGTATTCCTGAAAGTACTGGCCTTGAAAACATGGTAACTCTGGGGATCCCAGAGCAGTTTGGAGCAGCGCAGGTTGGCTGACATTGGCTGTGATATCATTCCCAGAAGTACCAATTAGTTGGCAGTGCTTGGAGGGAGAGCGATTGTTCTGAAGGCACCTATGGGTATTGTGTTCCTGCGCCTCCGCAGGTCTAATTATATACATGCTAGAAACCAACTCACAGCTACATATTTATACAAAAATGTAGTCTCTGTGTTCTCATTTCTGAAGACTTTTTAGTTAATTATTGTTATGCCAGGGACATTACTCCGTCTTTTACAAAACCTGGAAATGTATTCCAGCTGCATGACTCCTGGAACAAAGAAAACATTTGCTATTCCATCAGAAAAGGATACCCCTAACCACATACATGGGAGAGCTGGAGAGCAAAGAAGTGGCAAGTAAGGTGGAGCTCCCACCTTTAATGCTACCCTTGTTCAGCTGGAGGCAATTAGTGGATGATAAAGGACTTTGTGAACCCATAATGTGATTTCCTCCCCTTAAAAGAGCTTCTTATGGAGCATCACAGATTGGCTTCATCTAATCACTAGCTTCCTTTTTCACATCTCTTTAATATCCATTTTAAAGAGCTGTTTTGACTTTAAAACAATGTTTATTTAATGCACTGTGTACAATATCCAGTGGCTAAGCTATTAAATGAAAATGAATACTAGACTTGAAGTGTTTTAATCATGACCTGAATGCCACCAGTAAAAAAACCCAGAATTTAAGATTTTTTTTTTCTAGTTTTACACCAGTGATATTTAATAGAGGGAATTTTTGGAAGACAAAGACAAAAAGAAATATTTAATTCTTTGCCCCTATGCTAGGTACCAGTCCTTCACTTGTCTTCCATCACTTTGGGGAAGACAGCTTCTGGGCAGACACTTCATCAAACTGTTTAGTTTCAACTCCTTTATTCCGTTCAGATGAATTTTAGGTAACTGTGATGTGTAGTGCCCAGGTTTATGTATGCAATGCCAAACCATTTTCCAAAGCATTGCTACACATAACTTTCAGCTGATTACACTGCACATGGCTGACTGATACCTGAAGAGCCTGGTTGTACTGGCACAGATTTCCCAGGACAGCTTTGGTAAAACTTTGATTTCCCACATCAGCCATGAAATTTCAAGCTGCATTGTAGAAATTAAAATTATGTCAGACCAAGTCAGCTTTAATTTTCATATTGGCAGTTTTTTGTCATTTGAAAAGTACAAGGTAAAGTTTGGAAGAACAATAAATTCAGGCATTAACAAGCAAATTCTTCTGAAATGCATTCAGTTCTAACAATGAAGACACATACCATAGGTTGCCAGCTGGACTGCTGACGAGTTGTCCTGGTTTGGCTAAAACAGGGC